ATCATGTCCCAGATCTACCCTATTTTTTCTTTTTTATTTATTTTTCTATTATCAGCTTGATACAGTATAAATTCTTATCCTAATGGTGAAATATTTGATTGAGGCTTGCCCAGTAATTGAGTAAAACCAAAACTTATTATAAGCCACAGTCATCCTAGGGTCCTCCCTTCTATATAGCCTCCCTGGTTCTGTGGGTTGCAGTCTGACTGTTCTTTGCTTTATATCTAGTATCCACTTATGAGTGAGTACATACCATGTTTGTCTTTCTGGGTAACCTCATTCAGGATGATATTTTCTAGTTCCATCCATTTGCCTGCAAATTTCATGCTGTCATTGTTTTTCTCTGCTGAGTAGTACTCCATTGTGTATATGTACCACATTTTCTTAATCCATTCTTCAGTTGATGGGCACCAAATCTACACTATTATCCTTTAGAGATTGAACTAGGCAGAACCTCACTATACTTGGCAAATACTTTGCCACTGAGACACATGATTGGATGTCCCAAGATCTTATTTCTTTTTTAAAAAGGGTGTCTTGTACCACAGGCTGGCCCCAAACTGTCTTAAATTTGTGACCTTCCTCCCTGGGATTATACTGTGTGTCACCACACACCGGTTTTTGGTTTGGTTTGGTTTGGTTGTTGTTGCTGTTATTGTTGTTGTTTTGGCTTTTTTTTTTTTTTTTTTCGTTTTTCGAGACAGGGTTTCTCTGTGTAGCTTTGCGCCTTTCCTGGAACTCACTTGGTAGCCTAGGCTGGTCTCGAACTCACAGAGATCCGCCTGGCTCTGCCTCCCGAGTGCTGGGATTAAAGGCGTGCGCCACCACCGCCCGGCCATTTTGGCTTTTTTGAGACCAGGTTTCTCTGTGTAGTTTTGGTGTCTGTCCTGGATCTTGCTCTGTAGACCAGGCTGGCATCAAACTCACAGAGATCCTTCAGGCTCTGCCTCCTGAGAGCTGGGATTAAAGGCGTGAGCCACCACTGCTGCCCGGCCACACCCAGTTTTATCCATTGTTAGGAACAGACAATGCTAAGGCAAGCTCTCTGAAGTCTGAAATGCATCCCCAGCTGAGGCTAATCAAATTATTAATTGATTCATGTTAAGGTTGAGACATGATCTCACCAAATTTCCTATGCTGGCTGTACACTAACCCAGGAGGCCAGGCAAACCTTGACTTTATGATCCTCCTGCCTCATCTTCTCACTAGCTCCTATCACAGTCCTTCAGGACCACACCCGAGTAGTTTAATAAATTGATCCTTTCCCTGTGGCATTCCCAGGGTTAACTTGTAATTTAATCTCAGGATGTCTGAAATGACATCTATAATGGTGTCTAAAGGCTCCAGCCAATCACTGAGAAGATGAGCAAGCGGAAGTCAGTTCCGTGGATTCGTTATAAAAGCCATGATCCTAGAGCTCCGGGCACTTTACAGAGAGATCTCAGAAGACTCAAGGCTGCTGCAGGCACGAAGACAGGAACCTAGAGGTAAGTGAACCAGGGAGGAAGTTGGGTTTAGCGAGGCTGTGTGTTCAGATGGGGACAGAAATTGGCTGCTGCACGATTTATCTGGGTATGAAGTACCTGCAATGCCGCACTAGGAAACTGAGGCAGGAGGATGCCATGCCGAGTTCCCCGCTGTACAGGGCCACAAGGTGAGGCATTCACAGCAAACCAACAGAAGGACCCCCAGGTACCTAAACTCCTCCTGTGTCCTTTGTTGAACATCTTTCTTCCTCGGTGTCCGGGTCCTGGTAATCACCACGATGCTTTTGCAGACTCCAAGGGCAGATTCCACTTAGCTCAGGTCTGTATCCCTTGACCGTCTCATTGCTGGGTCTAGCGGTTGCCTGCTGGAATTTGTTCATTTATTGATTTTTCTTTTCAAATGGGGTCTAGTTCCAGATTGACCTGGACCTTTACCCTTCCACCCCAGCCTTCGGAGCTGTGACCTGTTGTTTTGTGACAGGGTTTCTTTGTGTAGTTTTTGCACCTTTCTGGATCTCACTCTGTAGACCAGGCTGGCCGCGAAATCACAGAGATCCGACTGCCTCTGCCTCCCGAGTGCTGGTATTAAAGGCGTGAGCCACCCCCGCTGGGCTTCTTTGTTTGTTTGTAACTTTATTTCTGCAGTGCTGAGGTCATGACCCAAGTTCTCAAGATGCCAGGCAAGCACTCTACCAACTGAACTACATCTCCAATCTTGCAATCTCATTTTGTCACTGTCTCTCTGTCTCTGACAGGACTGGTTTTCCTATGTATTCCAAGCTGGCCTTGAACTCTCAGACCTTTCCGTCAATGCCTCCCGAGGTCTGAGATTACAGGCATACACCATACTGGCTAGCCTGCTATTAACTGTGTTTTATTTTAAAATTATCATTTTAATTATCAAAATAAAGAATTAGATCAGGTAGTAGGCACACAGAGAGAAGGAAGATCTCTGTGAGTTGGAGTCCAGCCAGAGCTCCACAGAGAGACCCTATCTCAAGAACCATTTTGTTTGTTGTGGCCATAGCTCAGCAGTTAAGAGCACCCACTGCTCTTCTAGAGAACTCAGATTTCATTTCTAGTACCCAAAGACTCACAATTGCCCACAGCTCCAAGGCCACCAAGTCCTGTGCACTAGGCACAGATGTGGTCCAGAGAGTAACATGTATATAAAACATCCAAAAACATAAATTTTAAAGTTATTATTTTTTTTCTTTTTCTTCTCCTTCTTTTTTTTTTCTTTTTTGGCCAAGCATAGTGGTCCACAACTTTAATCCCAGCACTCTGGAGTCAGTTGCATGCAGATCTCTGAATTTGAGGTGTCTACAGAGAGCATGTTGGCCTCATCTTTCACAGATTCCAGCCACTACACACATTTTTCTTGTTCTTTGATTTGCTTTGATTTTATGTTAAAACAGGATTTCTGTGCAGTTATGGAGGTACTGAAACCTGATCTGTAGACCAGGCTGGCCTCAAACTCGTGGCTTAAAGGTGTGCACCACTGGGGCTGGAGAGATGGCTCAGAGGTTAAGAGCACTGACTGCTCTTCCAGAGGTTCTGAGTTCAATTCCCAGCACCCACATGGTGGCTCACAGCCACCTGTAATGAGATCTGACACCCTCTCCTGTCTACATAATAAATAAATAAATCTTAAAAAAAACCCAGCTTCAATTATTTTTTCTCTCAACCTTTTGTACTAAATTTCCAAATGACTAAGTTTATTTAATAATTTTGTATGGGTATTTAGTTTAGCTTCACTATATATCCTGGCTGAGCTGTAAATCAGTATGTAGACCAGGCTGGCTCACAGAGATCTGCCTGCCTCTGCCTCCCTAGGAAGTGAGTCACCACATCCAGCAGAAATTCTGTGAGTTCGTAAATGTGTAAGCTGGGAACTGAACTCTTATCTAGAAGAGCAGCCAGGGTTCCATGCTTGCTAGTCCATTCCTTTGTTTAGATTGTCTATGGGATTAGTGGACTATAAGCCACATTATGTTGTGTGTTGACCTATGTTTTGTGCTATTTTATTCAAATGTTAAGTAACAAGGAAAAAATTAAGGCTTCCTTTTGAGCCATGAAACCCACAGGTCTTCTTATTTTAAAAATGTTTTTTGTTACTTGAAAGCATTATAGATTAGTGCCCTCAAATACCAAGTGCCTTGACTTTCCCCCAAAATGAACCAACTCTGCTTCTTCTTGCTTTTTGGTTGGTTGTTTTTAGACATTGTCCCACTGCATAGCTCTGGCTGGTCATGGACTGACAGATCTGCCTGCCTCCACCTCCCAAATCCTGGGACTGCAGGTGTGGTGGCTCCTACCTTTAATCCCAGCACTTGGGAGGTGGAGGCAGGCAGATCTCTCTGAGTCGGGGGCCTCCCTGGTCAACAGAGCAAGTTCCAGGACAGCCAGGTCTACACAGAGACCCTGTCTGGAAAAAACAACAACAAAAAAGAATACTGTTACATCTATGTGCAGATGGTGGAAACGATCCCATCGGGGTTAATTTGGAGATGAGATCAGGAACCATTGATTCATAAAAGCCAGCATGTGTAGGAACACGGAGCTGGAAGAATAGGATGAATTAATTTCTATATATTTGTTTTTGTGTTCTGAAACTGAATTTTGCTCTGTAGCCCAGGCTAGCTTCAAACAATACTCTTTTAGCATCTCCAGTGCCGGCATTATGGATTGAGCCACCATACCCATATGTTTTGTTCATTGTTTTTGTTTTTTGAGACAGGGTTTCAGGGATTGGGGATTTAGCTCAGTGGTAGAGCGCTTGCCTAGCAAGCACAAGGCCCTGGGGTCAGTCCTTAGCTCCAGGAAAAAAAAAGAGTCAGAGTTTCTCTGTGTAGACCAGGCTGTTCTCAAACTCAGAGATCCTCCTGCCTCTGCCTCTGGAGTATAGGGATTAAAGGTGTGGGCCATGTTCTTTCATGTTCTTTGATTCTGAGAGTGAGTCTCTTGTAGCCCTCATGTCTTTTAGACTTGGTATTTATACATAATCGAGGGTGGTTTCAAAATTATGGCAAGCTTCAGGCTCCACCTCTCCCTTGTATTAGAGATGTTCCATCATACACAGCTGGACTAGAGTAATTGACTTTTTAAAAATTATCTTTGGGGATGGGGTAGGTGCCAGGTGTCCCACATGGAGACCAGATGACAGCTTGTCAGAGCTGGTACTCTCCTTCCACTGTGTAAGACCAGGGGATTTAGCTGGGGTTATTGAGCTTGACTGGAGACATCTGTACCCCTGAACCATCTCACAGATCCATAGAATGGATTAATTTCTGCTTTACTGAACAATCCCTTTGTGTTGGGGAGGGAGGCTATATTATGAGGCTTGATGACATTTAGGAGGCACCAGAGTTAAACTGATCTGGTTCCTTCTTGCCTCCCAGACTTCTGGACCAACACCAAGCCCATCCTTGAGCCTACAGAAGTAGGTCTGTTGATACAGGAGTCATTTTATAGAATTCCGACTTGTCATAGACGAAAAAAATCCCAGCAGACATGGCTACCAACCTGCCGCCAGACAGCCTCCTGTCAGAGCAGACATCATCACCTACATCCCAGGACAGGAATTCAGAAAAAGAAGACTACAACCCTGAGGTTTGGCACTTGAAGTTCAGAGCTTTCAGCCCCTCAGAGCAGTCAGACCCCATCCAGGATCTGAAGAGGATCTCTGAACTATGCTATCAGTGGCTGAGACCAGACCTGAATAGCAAGGAGGAGATCCTGGATCAGCTGGTGTTGGAGCAGTTCCTGATCTCCATGCCTCCAGAACTGCAGGCCTTAGTGAAGGAGAGTGGAGTGAAGAGCTGCAAAGAGTTAGAGAAGATGCTGAGGGATGGCGGGAAACCACAACATTGGGTAAGCAGGGCCTCAGCTGTGGGCTGAGGGAAAGGACAGCCTTGGGGCTGTGGGGACCTGGATGCAGAACCCACTTAGGGTCTTGCGCTTAGTCAGTGGCTCTTAAGAGGAGAATTTTGCTCTGTGATAAATGGCAATGTCTGGGGACCTTTATGGGCTTGTTTAGTCTTTGTGAATGTGGCCCAGAAACTTGACTTAGAAGCCAAGGAATTGTGCAGATCAGAAACAGTGTAAGCTATCAGGCTCATCTTGAGTCAGAATGTGGAAGCCTTGTCATTTTGGTTTTATATTTTTGTTTCCTTTTGTCTTTTTTTTTTTTCAATATTGGTATCCTGTCTACGACATGTATCTGGTGCTCTTGCAGGCCAGAAGAGGGCATCTGCTCCCCTAGGAGCTGGAGTTACAGACAGTTCTGAGCACCACCTTGTGGATGCTGGGGATTGAACCTGAGCCCTCTGCAAGAGCAGTCAATGCTCTTAATCTCTGAACCACCTTTCCAGCCCCCACCTCACTCCTTGTTTTTTGTTACAGAGTCTAAAGTGGCCCAGACTGGTACTCAGTTCACTGTGTAACTCAGAATGATCTTGTGGGCCAATCTAAGTCCAGGAACACAGATTTGCAAATAAGTCAGGCTGGGCTGCTGAATCAGCCCAGGAACAGTGCTGTGGGAGGTATGTCCAGGCTCTTACCCAGGGTCTCATCCTGTTCCCTTTCCCCCACAGTCCATAATCCACTCCCAAGGACAATTGTACCTCCTTCAGGATCCCATTGCTAAGGAGGCAGAAGCCAAGGAGGATCAAAAGGATGCTGTGGAATTGTCCCAGGAGCCTCTGAACAGAGACAAGCCCAACCCAGTGTGGGGGATCCCATCAGAGACTGAAGAGCCATGCACCAGGCAGGTGAGTGAGTGACAGAATCTCTGGGGGGATTTGGGAGATAACTAGAAGACCAGAGTTATTTGAGAGATGTGGTTAAGGTTGGGGTTGGGGTTGCAGACTAGATGTACACCCCCTGGGTTTGACGTTGTTGTGCAGAATGAAGGTCCATCTGCCTGTCTGCACTAAAGCTTAGCATTGAGTATGGAGAAAGCTTCTCTGATGACACTTGGGACAGCTATCAACCTAAGAGTATAGCAGAATATCGTTAGGCATGATTGCATTGACATTTTTTTTTTCAGTCATGTTGGCAGCAAGCTTCATGGGACTGATTAGGCTCTCTGCATATATGTGACAGTTGTGTAGCTTGGTCTTCTTGTGGGACTCTGTGCAGTGGGAGCAGGGGCTGTCTTTGACTCTTTTACTGACATTTGGGATGCTATTCCTCCTACTGGGTTGCCTAGCCAGCCTGAATACATGGGGAGAGGCTCAGTCAAGGTGATATTGCATGCTTTGTCTATATCCATGGGAGGTCTGCCCTTTCTTAATAAAGAGGAGGAGGAGGAGGAGGGGGAGGTAGTGGAGCAGGTGGGGGGAAACTCTAGTGAGGATATAAAATAAATAGATAAATAAGTAAATAAATACTCTTTTAAAGGAAAGTGTGAAGGAAAGATCAGGTAGGGTGGTGCAAGCCTTTAGTCCTAGCTCTCAGGAGGCAGAATCTGGCAGTGCCTCTGAGTTCAAGGCCAGCTAAGGATTCATAGTAAGACTTTCTCTCCAACAATAAATGTGTGAGGCCAGCATCAAAATAAAACTGATAAAACGCAGTGTTATCCTAAACTGGAAGGCATTCAGAAGGCTAAGGTATCAGGTGTCAGGCTAGTCTGGGTTACACACCATTTTGATCAGGGACAGCCTGGGCAAATAGGCAAGACCTTTTTCAAACTGAAAATATTTTAAAGGGCCAACAGAGAGGCCAGAGGTAGAACACAGGCCTAGAATCTACCAGTGAGGAGAGGGCTTGTGGCTCTGCCACAGAGTGCTTGCCTGCACAAAGCCCTAGTACCATATACCAGTGAAGAAGCAAAGAGAAAAAACCTAGTTGGATAACCACGTCTGACTGGGTGTGAGCAGAGGAAGCCACAATGATGGGAAAAAAGGGCGTCCATCCTCCTGCAGAGTCTCTCAGGTCCAGAGTGAGGCCAGAAGCTGTAAGGAAGTTTCTCTTCACTGTCCACTCTTCCCTCTAACCTCTCCCAGACCCATAGCAGGTCCCCAGTCTCCAAACTTCTGTTCCTCTTAAAAATAATACCGCCAGGCAGTGGTGGTGCATGCCTTTAATCCCAGCACTGGGGAGGCTGAGGCAGGTGGATCTCTGTGTGTTCAAGGCCAGCCTGGGCTACCGAGTGAGTTCCTGTAAAGGCACAAAGCTACACAGAGAAACCCTCTCTCAATAAAAATAATAATAATAATAATAATAATAATAATAATAATAATACCACCCCACACCCCTAATTCCAATTTGTATGATCCATATGGTTCCTCGGTGTGGAGGCTCTCACCAGAGTAGCGTCCACCTCCCCAGAAGCCATCCACTCTGCATAGATCCTTGGTTAGGGTGGGGACTCCCGATGGCCTCTCCCTCCAGGCTGGAGTGGTGTCTGGCTGGAGACTGAAGGCGTGTGCAGGCAGCTCCAGCTGTGTGAGCTCATGACTGCAGGGGTGTCCTCTCTGAAACACTCTGCCCTGTTCTCGGCCTCCCCAACTCTGCATCTGAGAATCTTACCAGATCATATTATCTTGAGACAGGGTGTCTCTAAATAGCCCTGGATGTCCCAGAACTGTGTAGACCAGGCAGCCTCCAACTCACACATCTGCCTGCCTCTCCCTCACAAGCCCTGGGATGAAACCCCACCAACACCACACCTGGCTGCTAAGAGTTTTAACAGTGTGCAGTCACTGTCACTTGGAAGTCCACAATATGTAGCAGAGGAGACCCTCCCCCCATCAGAAATAATCATTCAACTCCCATTTATTTTACAGTTGTCCTGTTTGTATAGTGTGGGTATTTTGCTTGTGTGTGTACCAGACCCCACATGTGTGCCTGGTGTCTGCAGAAGTGAAAATGCATCACACCCCCCATCATCACCTGAGGAACTGGGGTTACCGATGGCTGTGAGCCTCCTTGTGGGTGCTGAGACTCAAACCCAGGTCCTCTAAAAGCAGCTGCTGTTCTTAACCTCTGAGCGGTTCCTCCTCTAGCCTCATTAGCCCAAATCTTAATAGCACCAAGGTTGAGAGGCATTTTGCTTTTAGAGTCGAGGGCAGAGAAGATCGTGCATAGAGAATTAAAATGGCAACCAGTATGAGGTACAGAGATGTAGTGGCTTCTCGTTCATGACAGACTTACAAGTCAAAGGAGAGCATTGGTTTATGTGGGGTATGGGAGTAGGTCATGGAAGTGTGAACATTCCTACAACTCGGGGAGAAAGTGAGTGGGCCAAATGAAGTAGAGACAGATGTCTATGTTCCTTCCACCTCTCCATTGATGAACTCGCACCCATAATTTTTCACTGTCCCCTGTGAAGAAAGAGGAAGTTTTGCTGGATACAGTTCCTGAGAGCAGAGAACAGGACGACCCAAGACCTGAGCAGAGCCTGGGGAGTGACTCGGTGCAGGACAGGGAGGAGGCCTCTGTGTTGACACCTCAGGACCCTCAGCCCACACACGGTTTTGGTGAGTTTAGGTGGGAACTGACTGGGAACTTACTATAACTTGCCCACTCTCTTCCATGTGGGAGGAAGCTGACCACCCACTCCCACCCCCTCTGTCACTAGCCTTCCAGATCATTCTACAGGCTGAGCTCTCAGGCTTGGGATGTTGATGGGATGTCCCCAGCCAACACCAGAGTTTAGCTCTAATGAGTCTGGTATGATTGGGATGATCTTTAATAAGTGTTGTGTGTCTTAGTGGGGAAAGGCACTGGTCCTGGAGCTGACTGCTTGTGATCCATCTCAGAACCCTCATGGTTGGTTACAGGACAGAACCAACCCAAAAGTTGTCCTCTGACCTCCACATTCATAGGGTGCCACTCCCCTCCTTAATCAAGTAAATAAATGCAATCCATCCTTGAGAGGGACTCTCATGTTTTAAATGTTGTACATGGACATTCTTCCATCAGATTCTGTCAGAGGAGAGGATGTGAAGATGCCCCAGGAAGACACAAAAGATGCTTTCACACTGTTCACCCATGTTCTGGAAAGAAGAGATTTAGCTGCACACACAGATCTTCAGAGTCTCTCTAGTTCCAAGGGAGACAAGGTTCCCACTTGTCAAGGAGGGGCCTCCTGTGTGGACAGGACAGAAAATGGGCAGCTAGGGCTTCCTACCCTGCGACCTGTGGAGCCTGTTGATCGACTCCCTGGCCAGGCTCAGTTTGTGTGCAGTGACTGCAAGAAGAACTTCCTGTACAGGTCTCAGTTCATCCTCCACCAGAGGTCACACACAGGAGAGAGACCCTTTGAGTGCAGCGTGTGCAACAAGGGCTTTGTGCAATCCTCAGACCTTCGGGTCCACAAGCGCATCCACAAGGGTGAAAAGCCTTATGTGTGCAGCATCTGCAGCAAGAGGTTTGCCCACAAGTCCACCCTTCTGGGTCACCTTAGGATCCACACAAAGGAGAAGCCTTATGAGTGTGAGCACTGTGGGAAATGCTTCAACCACAGGGGCAACCTCAATGTCCATCTCAGCATCCACAGCGACTCAAGACCTCACAGATGTAAGGAGTGTGACAAGGCCTTCAGACAGCAGGGGACTCTGAAAAGACACATGAAAATCCATTCAAGAATGGCATCCGAGGTAGGCCCGGCGGCGGAGGCTGGCAGAGGAAGACAGGTGCCTCAGTGGCGGCAGTGGCATCAACCAGCAGAAGCAGGCAGACCCGGCGGGTGGTGGCCAAAACAATAAAAAGCAAAGAAAAAGAAAAAGAAAAATTTGAAATATTAAACAAATAAAAAAAAAGGTGAACTAGGGACTCATCATTCCTCTCCACATTCTATTCTTTCCCTTTTTTTATATATTTTAAACTTTTTATTGGTGGATTCTGCTGGAGTTTATCAGTGGATTCTGCTGGAGTATCCGATATAGATAAGCACTGGAGGGCTCCTGTTGCAAATCACCCTCTGGAGCGATGGAAGGATCTTTCTACTGGAGGAGACCCGATCTAGTGTTGGTGTGGCCCCAGGGTTCTATTTATGTCTTTCCTCAGGACAATGAGGTTCCTCTTTGGATTCCTGAGCACTGAATGTGCCCTATGGCTGCTGCTGAAGCCCAACATGACAGAGACCTAATGGGTCTTCATGAAAAAAATCTACCCTTCTGATGCCAATGGGAATTGAGAGCCCAATATCCCAGCTTTGGCAAGCATTAATGTAAGCCTAGGAACTGTAGCCATGAGATTGGATTGTCCGGAAGAGCTGCCAGCTAAAGTCGTTCTGGGATCAAGAAAAAAGGCCTTGGCGGTTCGTGTTACTGGAGTTGTATCCATACCAGTGGTTGTCCACACACCCCAGAAGAGAATTTGACATTGCTGCTGCCGCTGTTGCTATTATAGCAATGGCGCCCACCACTGCTACTGTTTCTGGGATTACCATTTCATAATTGCTTACTACAGCTAGCACAGTGGAGACCCTGGCAACAAAAGTAGCTACCACAGTTAGTTAATTTTCCATTCTATTGGGCATGATAAATTTAATTCAGTAGTTATATACATCTCGATTGGCTTTGAAAATTATAAATTTATTAACTCAAGTTCCAGTTGCTTTTGGGATACCATCTTACAAGGACTCCAACGTATGGAGTACAGTATGGCTCATTAAGGAAGGGAATGGCTCAGTTGCCTTTAGCCTACTGGCTATGGGTGAGATAGGACCTCTGTTAGTCTTTTTATTCTGTCGAACACACAGATTGCAAGTCCAGTGCCACTATGAGATCTTTGGCAGCAATTAACTCTGCAGCTCACACATGATTGAGCCTATATGATAATGAGTATTCAGAGACAGGAAGGGGGGCACTCACCAACCTACCTAAGACAGAGCACCTATGTGGCCTGGGCAGGCGTCTCAATGATAGGTAAGGTGACCTGCTTACATCCCATGCAACCCAAGTCAGAAGCTCATTTTTTAATAAAAGGGGGACCTGTAGGGTCCTGGCCCCCATTTTGGGTAACTGTTGCCTTGTTTGCTGACCTTGACCTTGATATACTCCCTATGCTAATTCCCCGCCAGGTTCCATCCTCCTGAATGCTTAAGGGAAGTTCCTTGTCTGTGTATCCTGAATAATGGGCTTTAACAGCTTAGATGCAAGATTGTAAAACATCAGTAGTGAACTTCTGCCCTCCGGGGTCCTCTCATTGTGCTGTAAACCTGTGTTTAAGACCTCTTCCCCCCTTCAATAAATGACATTCGGCATTTAAAATTTATATATATATATATATATATATATATATGTATGTATGTGTAATTGAATGAATACTACGAATGTAATCTATGAATACCACAAATGTGATTAATATCATGAGTGTAATTAATGATATGAGTACAGTCTAAAAAATAAATAAATTAATTAATTAATTAAATTTAAAAAAAAGAATGTCATCCTTGTGAGTCTGTATCCAGATTGAAGTCTTTTCCTAGAGAGACTGTTGCTAGGTTACCCTTGTTACATGGCAACACCCTGGGAGCACTTAAAGGGATGTCTCATCCCTTGAAGGTCTGAGGACTATTGTGTTTCACTATGCCACACTAGTGTGTGTGTGTGTGTGTGTGTGTGTGTGTGTGTGTGTGTGTGTGTGTGTTTGAGACAGGATCTCACTATGTGTCACTGGCTGTCCTGGAAACTCACTATGTAGACCAGGCTAGCTTGAAACTCAAGAGACGACTGGTCTATGTATCCCAGATTGGCCATGAACTTGTGACTGGACTTATACCTCTGCCCAGAGTGTTGAGATGCCCCTCCTTGGCAGGCTTTTGTCATATTTTATTTTTACTTGGTGCTGTTCTTCTCAGGTTGTCAATATTGAGTCACAAAATGGGAGTGATGTTTGTCTCCTCATAACTCTGTCAAATGTGATTTTCCAATAAATTACTTAGTATCTGGCCAAGGACAACACTTTTATAGTTGTGTGTATGTCCCTATTATCACTATTATTATTTATTATTATTATTATTAATTTTTATTTTGGTTTTTCGAAACAGGGTTTCTCTCTGTAGTTTTGGTGCCTGTCCTGGATCTCAATCTGTAGACCAGGCTGGCCTGGAACTCCCAGAGTTCTGCCTGGCTCTGCCTCCCGAGTGCTGGGATTAAAGGCATGTACCACCACTGACAGACCTTCCTTTCTTTTTCTTTTTCGAGATAGGGTTTTGATATTTAGCATTGACTGACTTGAACGATATAGCTCAGGATGGTCATGGGCTAGTGTCCTGTCTCTGTCTTCAGAGTTCTGGGATTACTGGCTTGATCATCGTACCCACCAAATGGAGCTCAAAAAACTTTTTGAGGCAGAATCTCTCCTTGTTTCCCAGGCTAATCTTGAAATCACTACCATCCTCCTACCTTGGCATCTGGAGTTCTGGCATTACATATTTGAGCCAGTACATCCAGCATAAATTTAAAGTTTTGTCTTTTTATGTTTTATAGTGATCATGTGTCATTGTTATGGAAAATGTCCAGCAGGTGGAAGCAAAGGCCCTTTTCTGACATGTGGGGCAGGCTAGTTCAGCTTTGACTAGATAATGCTACAACCATTCAATGATTCAAACAAAGGAATGCTTTTTTTCTTAATGTTTTTAGATTTATTTCTTGTTTTATGTGCCTTGTGACTGTGCGTGTGCCTGTGGTAGTCAGAATAAGGCATCTGATCTCCTGCAGCTACTGTCATAGGTAGTTGTGAGCCATCATGTGGGTGCTGGGAATGAAACCTTGATCCTCTGAAAGAGCTTCGAGTGCTCTTAACTGCTGAGCCCACTCTCCAGCCCTTGGGAATGCATTCTAGCTGATAAAACAATAAAAGCGACATCTGTTTGAAGTCATGTAGAGTTTTGTGCATGCAGTGTGAAGCTAAACTTACCTACCATTCCCATCTCCCCAAATTTGTTTTTTAAAGATTTATTTAAACAACAACAACAAACTAATGTTGCAGGAGCAATGGCTGTGCACACCTTAGTCCTGGCTCTTGTAGGCAGAGGCAGGTGAATCTCTGAGTTCAAGGCCAACCTGGTCTATAGAGTGAGTTCCAGGATAGCCAGGGTGACACAGAGAAACCCTGTTTTGGGAAAAATAAAGATTTATTTTAAATTAAATATGTGTGTATAGGCCAGAAGAGGATAAAAACCCGTTGCCTGAAACTGGAGTAAGAGGAGGTTGTGAGCTGCCCAGTGTGGGTGCCGGGAGCCGAACTCAGGTTTTCTGCAAGATCACTATACCCCAAACCACATCTCTTGGTCCCCACGTTTTAACTACATTTATTTCTTTCATGTCTGGAGGTTGATGAACATGTGTCCTGATGCCCATGTGATGGTCAGAGGACAAGTTGTGGAGGTCAGTTCTCTTTCCACCCTGGGACCGCCTGGGATAGAACTCCGGTCCCTGGGCTTGGTGGTGCCTTCGCCTTCTGAATGGTCTGCCTGTCTCAGATTTGCCATGTTTTGTAAATCTCATCCTGAGTTATTTTGTTATCACAACAATGAAATAGATGAGGTTGTTAGTAGTAGGCAAGGACCTCTTGCTTGGATGGTAACTTGTTTTTGTTATGCCAGGATTTTTATTTATTTTTTATTTTAATTTTTTTAATTTATTGTCAGTACTGAAGATCAATCCTGGGGCCTCCAGCCCCTTAGGCAAGTGCTCTGCCATTGAGTCACTCCTCCAGCCCCTTATTGGATTCTGGACAAGCATACTCCTGGCTGAGTCACTTTTATTTTTTTAAATTTTGGGGCCAGGTCCAGTCCAGGCTGGTCTTGAACTTGTGATCTTCATGCCTCAGTCTCCTTAGTAGCTAGGATTACAGACCTGTGACATCAGGCATAGCTTGTTTTTAATTATTACATTTTTTTGAGACATGTTCTCATGGAGCCCAGGCTGGCATGAAATTCTCCGTCATAGCTGAGGATTGATTTGAACTCCTAACCATTCTGCCCTTTCCTCCCAAGTACTACCATGCCTGGCTTATGCATTTAAAAAATTATTTATTTTAAATATGTGTATATGTGTGTTGTGGTTGGGGGTTGGGGGGACAGTGGGATGTGTGTATGAGAGTATAGTGTCCCAGAGAGGCCAGAAAAGGATGTTGGATCTCCTGGAGCTGGAATTGCAAGCCACCATTGTGGGTGATGGGGGAATCCAGTTCAGGTATTCTGCAAGTGGAGTATATGCTCTTAAATACTGAGTCATCTCTCCAGCCCTCATTTTTTCTTTAATTTTTATTTATGGTTATGGGGGTTTTACCCGTAGTGCCCTTGGAAGGCCAGAAGAGGGCGTTGGATGCCCTGCAACTGGAGTTACAGCCAGTTGGGAGCTGTCAGGTGGGTGCAGAGAATTGAACCCAGGTCCTCTGTAAGGAGGGTCAGTGATCTTGACCACCTGAGCCCTCCCTCCAGCCCTCATTTTTAACAAATACACGTCAACTCTCTTTGTTGGGTACCGTATTCTACTTCAATGCATGGATACGTTGCCCTGTGTTAAAAGTGTTCTCCTCCAACATCTGCCATTTCCAGTGGAGACTTTCAAAGCCTTTTCTCCTGCTGTGGGAGAGCAGCAACATCAGAGCCTCATTCCCCATCCAACCATGACTTAGTGCCCACTAAAGAATAAGAGCTTCATTTACTAATCTAAGGAATCTCTTTGTAACATATTGATAACTGAATTTTTTTTTCAAAAGCTAGCTAGCTAACCAGATGTATGGTACACCC